TCTTGATTCTATTTCCTTTTCTTGTCTATCATCAATAGGGCGATGAGATTTGAAAAAGGAATTTTGTGTTCTTGAACGATGGATGGTGATTGGAACGGAGGTGGATGTATTCTTGAGGTCATGATGATTTCGTTGTTGAGAATGATGATTCAAACTTGTGGTTCCAACAACAGGATGAAAATCCAATGATGAGGAGGATGATTCTTCATTCCGTTGATCCATTCTTTTACTATCATTTGGGCCGATCAATCTACATGTTTGCTGCTGAAGATGATGATTTGTATTAGGGTCTAAATCATTCAACATCCGCAGTCGATCATGAAAAATTCTAAACTGTGGTTTTTCTCTGATCCGATGGTCATTCCGATGTAAGCTTAATGGAGGTGTGGAGGGAGAGTGATCTCTCTCTTGATGATTCATCCACCACTGATGCAGAAGTATATGCGTCATTTCTGAAGTCAATTCAATTTTTTTTAACCTTTTTAAAGTTCGAATCAAATAATTCTATTTTTGAAATTTCCTTATTCAAAGAGCGGCTCGGAATTTTGATTCCGAAGACAAAAATACAGAAGCAGAAACCATCTCATTTTGTGGGTATCACTCTGTAATCTTGTGAAATCCAACTTCACAACAAACGACCTGTAAATGATTCATTGCGCTCTCAAAGGTTACAAAATCCTGTTCCAGATTGCACTTTTACGGCAAAGAAAAAAAATGGGCGAAAAATCCATTTCATCGTCAATTTCAAGAACAACGTCGTCATCGTTCAACTCTCTTTTCATGCTTTCCACACTATTCCTCATCCTTCTTCTTCTTCATTCCTTTTTTACCCCATTCTTCATCCTTTCCGAAAATCTTTCTTTCTCTTCTTCAACATTTCCTTTACAGGCAACCACCACAACGAAAAGCCTTTCATCATCAGAAAATTCTCTCATCAACCCACTCAATTTTACCATCTTGTATGTTCAACCAAATTCTTCATCATCCTCTCTTCCGAATTGCACCCAAAAATCAGATCCGTGTTCTTCCATCTCTCAGGCCCTTCAGAAATTATCGGAATTGTTTCAATTGAAAATTATTGAACAAAAATCGGCCATCATTTATTTATTGGAAGGAAAATATGTTGGAAATTCGGCAGCTTGTCGAATGAAACAGAATGCAGTCTCAGAGTCGTATGATGATATTATTGTGGCATCGTATCCGTATGATAATACAAATAATAGTGAAAATCGAATGATCATTGATTGTAATAATGGAGAATTGATTTCGTATTTGAAAGCGAGGAGCATTTCGTTTCAAAACCTGACCGTTTTGAGAACAAAAATTTATAGCGACGAACAATTTGTCGTCTTGAATGTGTTTGAAATCAAGTTTGAAATGTGTCAAATCGATAATATGGCTGTTCAGGCGTCTTATTACAAGAAGGAATTTAATGTGACATTTGTGCAATGTAATGTTACACATTCTGAGTTATATAATATACTCAAAACCACATTTGAAGAAAGTATAATGAAATTTATTGGCTTGACAAGTAACAAGAAGGCCATAGTTTCGATTCAAAATTGTGCCATTCAAAATTTTAACTACAAGTCAGTTCAACAATATGTGAATACAATTTTGGATATTCAATATAGCCAAACATTTTCGATTGTGAATAGCCAGTTTGTGAATTCCAGTTTTGTCATTACAAGATTTCAATCCATTGAGTTTAAAGGAGTGAATTTCGATGGATATACCTCAATTTACCAAGCATATTCCAGAACGGCCACACTAACAAACATAATTTCTACAAATGGAAATTTTTTTTTTAGAAAGTGATGGAATTGACAGCGTGGTTTTTAGTAGGTGTGTATTTTCACAGCCTCAGCAAGAAGTAGACACAAATGCCATTCAAAACCCTAAGCCAACCATTAGGATTTCTTCCACATACTT